CCCCAAAACCCCAAAACCCCATGAGTGTAAATTTTAAGTAATAGAGGTTGAGTGATAATTTCGAAGTTTATAATTTTACTCTTTATTCTACCTGGTAATAATGGGGATCGGATTTATTTTAGTGCTCATTTCAATAGTGCTACTAATACCTTATTCATTGAAAATAATGCTCACCTTCTTCCTTTGGAAGTTCAGTTTTACTGCAAAGGTCACAGGATTGTTCGCATTTAAGGATATAATGATCAGAATTCCACTGCATCTCAATTTTTCGATACTCATAAGGCTTGAATAGCTTAGCTTCACTTTTACTTTCTCTTCAAAAATACTTAAAGTTTCAGCTTACGGGTTCCAGTTAAACATCCTGATTAGGGACGATTTCAATCTTTGGCTGACAAAGAAAATAGAAATCTTATAGCTTCTTGAAGATATTAGAACAACTCTGAGGAAAAAAGGACAATTACAACAAGTGGTAAGATTAGTGAACAATCTAGGAAACTTAGCCAATCCAGATGGGTAACAATAGCGACTAGATGAAGATTTATCCGAACTAAACATGATTAATAGTAACCAATTGAAAATGATGAAAAGATAATCAAGCAATATTGCTCCTACTGAAAAGACATTTATGGAGAGAATGCTCCATAAACTTCTCAGCTCTTTTGAAATCGAATTGAAAGATTCTGTGATAAATTTCTACATTTACAAAGACGAAGAAAAAAAAATTGAGGAAGCAAACGTTAAAAAATTTTACATGCTCTAGCTATTGGATAAGAATTTTAGAGATAAGTTTTTATGCTTCAGAGTCTTTATACCAAATGCCTACGTCAACATACAAACTTTGAATGATGATTTCGTTGATTTGTTAATTCACAGTGATTCAATTTTGCTTTAAAACCCCAAGCAAATGATTAAATAGGGGATATTAAAGGAGGCTTTTGTTGTTATCAAAATACCACTGGATAAAAAGCTAGCTAAGGATTTTTGCAATTTTGAGGTAAAAGTAAGCATTAAGCGAGCGATATTGAATTTGAATTTGAAATTCATTAAGTCAATAACCAAATTTGTAGTATGCATGGATACGCTTAAAGAGGTGATTAAGAGGATTAAGAAATTAATTACTAAACTTCATTTTTAAGATGAGCTTTTGAAAGAATTTTAATTTCTGCATTTGGATAGTAGTGAATTAAACTATGAGAATTTTAAAGACGAAGACATTCCTAAATAGCTTTCAGTAGTGATTGAAGATGGATTGACAATTATGATTTAAGAGCCAAGTAATCAGCTCAGACCATTTTTGCAAGGTGGAGGTTTAGATTAAAACAGATCTTAAGAGCTCATTATAATGAATACAACTAGGCTTTCATTCTAGCTATTGAAAACTCTAAAGAATTCTTATTTGATTAATTCAGTTTGTGGCAAAATAGCTGTTGAATGTAATTTGAGATAATCGATATTGATTCAGAACTTTATACTTGATATGAGTTTTAGCTTTAAGAAGTAAATTTAAGAATCCCCCATTAAATAAACTAAAATGGACATGAACATAACTATTTTGCTTGATGAAGTCTTTATTGATCTTACCATGAGTGAAGCAAAGCTTATCTTCGATATTGTAGATATTTATATGAAGATGGTTAAGAAAGCTTCAATCAAGACTAAGATTATGGATATTCTACTTGATATTGAATTCCTAAAAAGTAACCTACTGCATTTAGGCACCTCTCAGGAAGAGATTGCCAAGGAAAAATAGATAATGCAACTTTTCAAGGAGAATAAATATAAAGACACTTTGATATTTGATATTCAAATTAAGCAAGCAGGTAGAAGATACAGTGCCTATGATCCTCTAAACTCTATCAAAATTGATTTAAATGACTTCAGCTTTAAGATTAAGGATGACAAAGGTATTGAGGAGATGATTTTCAAGATTGGTTTTATGAATGTCCAGCCTCTCAGGCCTAAGTCTATATCAATGATAAAGATAATGAACTTAGAAAACTCAATCACAACCACTCGGGGGTCTAATAATCTTATTTAAAACATCTCTACAACCTTTAACAAAAGTCACTTCAATGTAAATATGGATCATATACTTTCTCTTACCAGAGAGATCCTAGATTTTTCCCTCATCTTCAAAAACTTCTCAAGGAAATGGAATGTGAAGTATGCTGTTAAAGATTATATCAAGTCAACAATAATTGAAAGCCTAGAATTCCAATTCGAGGAATCTTAAATCATTTGGAATATGAGTAAAAGCAGATATCTGGCTTTCAGGCTTTATGATTTCAAAACTAAGCCATTATAATGCCCTTTTAAGAACGATGATAAAATTGGGATGTGCTACTTCGCTAAGGAAATGGAAGTATACCATTCTAAGACAACATTAGAAGAAAGTATTCCTGGATAGATGTATTGTCTTTCAACTTATGATAAGGATACTTAAAAGATAATTGACTCTAAAGATTTCGATTTTAAAATGTTTATCACAGACAAAGAGAATAAAATCAAGGTAACAAGCTCATTTTTAGATTTCAATCTTCCAGATAATCTGCATTTTGGTGCTATCATCCAAGAAATCGTAAAGCAGATAGCTGTATCTAATAAATGGTTTAGTTTGGAGTATTAGAAGCTTAAACACAGGTTTGGTATATAATTTGCAAAGTTGAACTAGCAGCCAAAGCCTCACTAGTACATTCAGCAATAGAGCTTTACCTAAGCAGTTAAAGGTAGAAAGAAGAGTCTTGTTATTTAAGTAGATGTTAAAGAAGCCTATTTACAAGCAGAAGAATCAGCAATGAAATAAATATTTTTAAACAAGGAAGAGGTTATGGATGTTCTTTCGGAGAAAGAAGTCTTTAAGAGCAAGTCGCCCTTTATATTCAAAATGCTAAAGAAGTTAAAGTTATCGAAGATTAATGAAAAGGCTATGGTTTATTACCTTAAAAACTTTAAAATGACATATGAAATTCCTCAGTAGTTCTTGGATTTTTACCAGCTATATTAAGTAATTTTGAATCTAGATGAGGCTAGAGATTCGATGAGTGTTGCATTATTCAAAGAATTAGATAGTGGGGTACATTCTTATAAATGTGATTACATATCTTGGCATATTAGAAACCTGGTTAAACCTATTGTTGAGGTTTACCAAGTTGAGGTTAATTTTCTTTTCATTAATGGGCTGCTTAATCCTGATATGAACCCTTCATTGTTTAAAGCCAAGACATTTAGCAAGATTTTTAAGAAATATGAGATATAGCATTCCTATAACAAACTAGTTTCTAAATAATTCTATGATGCAGACATAAAAATTAATAATGTTAAGGCGAATATATAAGGTCAACAGACTCTTCTCTTCTTTAATGACTTAGGTGATATATTCAAGAGATTTGGGGTTGATGACATGTCCTCATAGAGAGATAAGAAATGCAACAAACTAAACTTCTACTCTGGCATAGATCTAATACGAAACAGAATGCATGGAAAAACTCGAATTCAATTTAATTTCCTCGAAGCATTTGTTCAGCCAAAAAGAAAATGCAACAGGTTTGAGAGCTGTCTAAAGTTGACGTTCTAAGATTTCTACTATTACTAGATCCACAATTATCAAGAAGCTAACTTGAGGAACATCATACTTTCAAAATCACCCTTGACATCATACGAGTCAGCCTTCTTTAAAATACCCCTAGTTGAAATGCAGATGAATATGATTTATAACTAGGGAAAAACCTAAAATCATTATACACATAGTGGGGCGAAAGATATTGGATCTTATTTGGAATAACTTAAAGCTTATAGCTCAAAAGAAGTTGAAATTGACTGTAAGTTAAATATACCTTCTCTAGGTCATAGAAATGATGTGGAGAAAGATTGTTCTTAGATCTATTCACTAATTTAAACTTACTTCGAAAAATCTCCTGTACCTATTTTCCATTATCAGAGGTCTCATATGAAGTTCTTTGATTAAATGGCTAAGGAATACTTTAAAAAGGCAGACTACACTTCGGCTGTGATTAACAGAAGAGAAAAGGGAGGTAACCAAAAAATTTAAAGTAGAAGATAAAATCTCTTTAAGATCAAGATCAAAGCATTTCTTAATGACATATTAGGACTCTTTACAGATTACAAGGAATAATAAAATCAGCAACAAAATTACCCAGAACATGTCTTGAATGAAAGAAATCTTGTGATTCATAGAGACAAACATCTAAAGTAGTATAAGGGAATTATTTTTAGTCTAGAAAATCTATGCCTCAAATCGTAGATACTAGTGAATAAAGCTAAAGACGGAGTAAGCTAATTCTTATTCTTAATCTAAATAGACTAATATTGAGCTCAGAAATAGTGCAATATAATGGAACTTCACAAGACTATCATTCATGAACAACGATAATCTGTTTTCTATAAGAAACAAAAGTATGTCATTAAACTAATTTTAATATCGAAAATATAGGATTTAAGTAATTTAGAGATAAGTTTCATGAGAATTCATTTGATAATTATAAGCACTTCTGCTGGTTCTTTGAGTTCAATCCTTAATCTTAATCAGCTTTTGTTGAATTATCAAACAACTCAATCCTTAATAATTTCAAGACTCTTTTCCCCTAATTCATTTTAAGAAATAGCTAACTTTAGCAAGAGATTATGATTGCACGACTTAATCCAGAGCAACTTAATCCATTCTCTGATATCGATGATAATTCTGCACAGGAAGACTTTGTCTTCTCCATTAAGGATACTATTGGGACATTGATTCAAATTAGCTACTAATAAGATAAAGATATCTCATTTGATCACAATCAGAGTTAAAAATTAGAGGAATTAAAGAGATAATCAAGTGACTCTAATCCGCTGTTAATGGGCTATCAAAATGAGAAGTAAAATGAAGAAAAGTTTACAGTAAAACACATGTTCGATATCAAAGGAATTAAATTCTTATACACTTAGCAAATTATCGAACTTCTAACACATCATTTGGTTAGAGGATTTGACTACAAGAAATTAAGGAAGACAGATTTTATTAATATAGAGAATTAGAAACTTAGCGGCAATGACAGAGATTTCAAATTCAAATTTAAGGCTAAGAATTCAAACTGTGACCAGAGTGGAGCATAAGGCTCTAATAAGAAACAGTAAAGTATTAACTTCTCAAAGCTAAACAGAGTTGCCCTAGTTGGACTCAGACTAGAGGATCCTTAGATAAATTTCTAAAATGAACTCACTAAGAGTCAAATGCTGATGACAACTGCACGACCAACCACTGCAGTGATATTTGGATTTCAAAAAAATAACACTTAAAATGGATAAATGCCTGTTTACATAAATCCAAATGAAGTAAATAACGGCTACTCTATAAAATTCCATGAAGAAGTAGTAAGATATGATCTGTAAATATAAGTTGTTGAGATGGATATATTAGTTGCTCCAACTGTTATAAATTTGGAAAATCCAACTTTCTGGCTAAGTAATTTAGGAAACATTCAACTCTCATTAAATAATTCTGAAAATTAGAGGGCTGACAGGGATCTATTCAGTAATAAAGGCCTTCCTTTATCAGATAGAGAGTAGTACAAAAGCGAGAACCTGCTGAGAAAGATTATTACAGTCAAGAATATTTAGTTTACCTTTAATTTCTTGGAAGAAGAATACGCTGACCATCTGAATCCTTCAATGCTTATTGATATGCTTGTCGAAAAAATTGATAGTGAAATGAATGGACCTGAAATGTGGCATTTTGTCTACGTTTTAAAATCTATTCTATTTGATAGAGGGTTCAAGACTGAAGAACTTAAAATGAGTGAAGTATTATTCTTATACAATTATGATAATTTGATTATAGATATTAAGGATTGAGGAAATGAACACTCTAAAAATAGATTTCATCAAGAGAATGATCGACTAAATTCTCAAGAGAGGCTAAGCTGAATAACATTCAAACATCAATAAGAAAATTCAATATAACATCCTCAATGGAGAATTCAAATTTTACAATGTGAGTATTAGTCTTTAATTTTATAATTTTTAGATGGATGTAATGTTTTCTCAAGTTGTAGTTAGCAGAGCATCTGGTACTCATTTGATATATTAAAATAGAGATTCAAAAGTTGACATTGACATTGATAGAATCTTGATTGAAAATTTTGCTGACTCAGAACAATATAGAATGGTCTTATTCCCTGGACACTCTTTCCATGGAACAGACAATGTAATTCAGCAATAAGTTAACCCTGAAACAATGATAAAAATAAGAGCAAGAGATAAATATGTAGTAGTTAAAGAAGCTCCTTGGAGAGTTTATGATTAGTTCGAAGTCTTCATCTTCCCATCTAGCTTGTAATTTACAAAGAATTTCTTCAAGTCATTTAAGAGTTTCTTCTTTAATGACGTTCCTAACTTTGACAATAATGACAAGTCAGACTTAGAAATTAAGAAATACGAATTGCTGGTCCCTACAAAAATTCTTTAAAGAGCTCAGGGTAGAAATCGAAGTAATTAAAGACAAGATGAATCATAGAAGAATACTCCTAAGAGAGAATAAATGAACAGACTTTCAGCACTTAAATCTAACGAAAAAGATAAAGAACTTGACTTAAATGATGAGGATGTAGAATAATTAAACTTAAGTGACTTAGGAGATAACTTAAAGTAAAAGAGTGTTAAGAGAAGAAAAAGTACATATGATAAGGGCTAGCAATAGAAATCATTCCCAATATTCTTTAGATACATGAGAATGAATGAAATTAATGTTTCAATAACATACTTCCAAAATAAGAATTCTTTCTTCAATACAAAGAATCTAAAAATTAAGATGGCACCATTCATTAGGCATGGTAAGTTCGTGACATTTAAAAAGATATTTGAGAAGTATGAGCGTCACTGCAAGCAGAATTTCATTTCCTAGATACCTAATCTGATCAAATAGAGATTCTTGCAAACAAAGGAAAATCTCAAAGTAGGCAAAACAAAGGAGGATATGGAAGATGAATTAGAGGAATAGCAAGAACAAAAGAAGGAAATCAAATTACAACTTGCCAGGAAACTTCTATTCGGAGAATTCGCAGAATAATGAATTAAAAAGTAATTTGATTGGATTTTCTACAAATATTCTCTTATATTAATAATCTTGATTTCATGAATAATGACTGTTTAATAGTTAATTAAATACTTACTAGCGGGGTTTTGGGGTTTTGGGG